CAGCTAAAAAGTTGTAGCAGCACTTTATGAAAAAGCTAAAAGTGATATTGTCAACAAGCCCTGGACCAGATTTAAAGCCCTGCCACATTCAACCACCTCATAACAACCGTTCAAGAAGAGGTATTGTTATTTTATTATTTTTATCTAATTAACTTTTTTAAATTTAAAATTATAATCTTATTAACTCTTTTTTTTTTTTTTTACCTATTTGTGTTTTATTTACAGTCTGGGACAGAGATAGCAGCTGAGTCTTCCTGTTCAGGGAAATCCACCACAGATCAATTCGAGCAAAGAAATCTGTGATGACTGAACTCTGAACCTTTCCAGGGACCTGTCCCACCTGTGGGAGCAGGTCCAAGAGGTTGTGAGTAATGGTGAGGCCAATACCGGTCGGTCTACGTTCCTACCCTCACCTATGGTCATGAGCATAGGTGAGGGGTAGTGACCAAAAGAATGAGATCATGGATAGAGGCGGTTGAAATTAGTTTTCTCTGCAGGCTAGCTGGACTCTCCCTTAGAGATAGGGTGAGAAGTTCAGTTATCCGGGAGAAACTCGGAGTAGAACCGCTACTCCTCCACGTCGAGAGGAGCCAGTTGAGGTGGTTCGGGCATCTGGTAAGGATGCCCCCTGGGCGCCTCCCTAGGGAAGTGCTTCAGGCATGTCCAACTGGGAGGAGACCCCAGGGAAGACCCAGGACACGTTGGTTGGCCTGGGAAAGCCTTGGAATCCTCGCAGAAGAGCTGAAGAGGTGGCTGTGGAAAGAGATGTCTGGACCTCCCTGCTCAAGCTGCTGCCCCCGCGACCCGACTTCGGAACAAGTGGAAGATAATGGATGTATGGACTGCAAAATTAGCAAATCTCTACCTCTCTATTCCTGCTACCTGTTGTTAGTGAGCGATTTTCTCCACTGCTTGAGATATTCACTGCAACTAGATCTGAGCTCTTGGCAGAAAATGTGGACAAGTTGGTCTTTTTGGCCAAAAACTTAAAACTTGATTAGTTAGATTGTTAAATGTTTGTTGCTGCTTATTGCTCTTGTTCTGACTGTTATTGCATTTATCAAGATTTTTAATATTGTTAGCATAGTTTATTTATTGTAAAGAGTGCCGTTTATTTAAAATATCATCCAAATGGGTCACTTTTATTTATTTTTTATACAAACATATTATTTAGTTGGCATATTTTCAAAATAAATTTTGTAAGTCTTTATTTTGGCTTTTTTGTACCAAAAATTGACCGAGCAGAGTCCTCCTTGAAACTGAACCGAACCAAAATGTGATTTTAGCGTACTGTTACACCCCTAATATATATATATATATATATATATATATATATATATATACACACACACATATATATATATACACATATATATATGTATATCCATCCATCCATCCATTTTCTTTACCCACTTATTCCATTTCGGGTCACGGGGGTCGCTGGTGCCCATGTCCAGCAATCAATGTGCGAGAGGCGGGGTACACCCTGGACAGGTCGCAAGTCCATCACAGGGCCACATAGAGACAAACGAGACAAACAACCATTCACTCTCTCACTCACACCTAGGGACAATTTAGAGTTACCAATCAGCCTAACATGCATGTTTTTGGTCTGTGGGAGGAAACCGGAGTACCCGGAGAAAACACACGCATGCACGAAGAGAACATGCAAACTCCACCCAGAAAGGCCCCTGGACCGGGGTTTGAACCAGGGACCTGCTCGCTGAGAGGCAGCAGCTCTACCAGTTGCGCCACCGTGCTGCCCATGTA